GGGGGTCAATAGAGTGTATGGACGAGGGGAGATCTCGGGAGGTTTTTGGAGGGCATCTCTATAGTGGAGCTCTCGGGGTATTTCTAAGGGGGAAGGAGAGAGAGAGGGGGGGTGGTTAATGGGAGGTATGGTCAAGGGGAGATCGTGGGGGTTTCTTGGGGATAAGTTCCCGGTGCATTTTTCAGAATCTTTCTACAGGGGGTGGGGGTCAGTGGTGTGTATGGTCAAGGGGAGATATCGAGGTTTTTTGGGGGTCAATCTCCAAGGCAGCTCTACGGGTCATTTCAGGGGCTGGCGAGTCAATATAGGGGATGATCGTGGGGAGATCTCGGGGGATTTTTGGAGGGTATCTTTTCGCATGAGCTCTCAGGGTCTTTCCAGGGGGGGGGTCGATGGGGATAAGGTCAAGAGGAGATCTTTGAGGTTTTTTGGGGATAACGTTCCAGGGCAGCTCTCAGGTTTTTTTAACCCATTGAACAACCTCACAGTATCCCACTCTTCGGAATTTGGTGGTAGTATGCGTGCGCAGCTGAGCATTTCTTATGGCGCACTGATACGTTGAGGGGCTCCCTACTCTCCTCACACCGATACCTTCGGTGACTTGCATTGTTCAATGAGCTAAGAGGGGGTGGGGGGTTAATGGGGGGCCTGGTCAAGGGTAACATTCCAGGCCATTTCTGAGGGTATTTTAAGGGGGGGGGGACAATTTAGGCTGTGGTCAAGTGGGATCTCGCGGGTTTTCTGGGGGTATCTTTCCAAGGGAGTTCTCAAGGTTTTTCTAGGGGGGGGGCGATTAATGGGAGGTATGGTCAAGGGGGGATCTCGGGGGTTTTTTGGGAGTATCTTTACAGAGAAACTCTCAGGGTTTTCCGAGGGGCGGGCATGCTAATGAGGGGCATGGTCAAGGGGAGATTTCGGAATTATTTGAGATATTTACAAAAAAAAATATTTGCAGTCCATGGGTTGATGAAGAACTTGGGTCACAATCCCGAATTACTTTTCTATTCAATCTTTCGATTGTATGTTTCAAATGTCAAATATCGCCTAAGAACCCCATCTCCTCTTAGCCATTTCCTCTGAAAATACCATAGAAACTCCTCTGAAAAATGTTCCGTGAAAATCTCGGCGATCCCCCTACAAAAATCCCCCTAGTTATCCCCTCAAACCTACTTTGAGAAATGTTCCCCAGATTTCTCCGGAATTTCGTTCCAACCATACTTTCGAGATCTCCTCTTGACCACACCCCTATTGACTCCTGGAAGTAACCTCAAAGAACCCCTCGGGATGTCCCCTTCATCATACACTCCTTGGCAAATCCTAAAAAGATCCAGAGAGCAATCCCCAAAAGTGATCTTCAAAATCACCCGAGATCTGCCCTTGACGATCCCCTTCAATAATCCACTCCAGAAAGACCCTCAGAGCTCCCCTGGAAAGTCAACCCCAAAAAACTTCCAAGATCTCCCCTCGAGTATACCTTTCATCAATACCCCCTCGAAAGGCCCTGAAAGTTCCTCTTGACCATATCCCCCATTGACCCCTCTCCCTAGAAAGATTCTGGGAGCTGTCCTAGAGCTGTCCTGGAGAGTTACCCTCAATAAAACCCTGAGATCTCCCCTTGTTCTTATCCCCATCGAGTCCCCCCTGGAAAGACCCTGAGAACTAATGCGGAAAGATACCCTTCAAAAACCTNGAAATGACCCAGAGAGGTGCCCTGGAGAGTGACCCCCAAAAAACCTCGATATCTCCCCTTACCATACCCACCACTGACCCCCACTCTCCCTAGAAAGATCCTGAGAGATGCCCTGGGAAGTTATCCCCAAGATCTCTCCTTAACCATACCCTCCAATGACCCCCCCCCACTCCACCCCCTCGAAAGACCCGGAGAACTGCCCTGCCGAGTTATCCCCAAAGAACCTCCACGATCTCCCCTTGACCATACCCCCCCTCTCCTTCCCCCTTAAAAATACCACAAGGGCTCCACTATAAAGATACTCCCCAAAAACCTCCCGAGATCTCCCCTCATCCATACACTCCATTGACCCCCCCTCCCCACCCTCCCTTAAAAGATCCTGAGGGCTCTCCTGGGAACTGACCCCCAATATCTCCCCTCGACCATGGCCTCCATTAATCCACGTTTGAAAGAACCCGATAGCTCCCCTGGTAAGTTACCTTTAAGAAATCGCCGAGATCTCCCATTGACCCTCTTCAAAACACCCAATTCACGTTCAAATGCTTTTCCTCACTCTGTCAATAAAATAACCCTCCAATCAATGAATTATGGCAAATTCCAACATCAATGTTTCAATTTCTTCCCAACCCGGGGCGCTGCGCGCGTTGTTTTGATAAGTACTCGATTCTGTACCTCGTGCTATCCAGTATCACTTGCTAAAGATCTACAAGTGGCTGAAAAGCTCAAAGTGCTTTGTGCTATCCGCCGAATTTTATTGTTCAAATTGAGATAATACACTCCAACGCTGTTTTATGGGCGTGAATACTATCTTCGTTGGAATCCTGAATACACTTGGTGAGGTTAAGCGTGAAAGGCCCATGTTTTTAGTTCTGGTAATGCATATGTGGGCCGAAGGTACGCAGTAAGAGTAGTAGCTTCGATGTCTGAGGGTAACACTCCTAGACTCAGTATTGACACACCAGCGCGCTTGTTAGTCGATAAAGAGCAGACTACTGCTGAGCCAACGCTTGATAAGGTAGTACAGCTCAACCCACCAAAGCCCAAAAGGAGATATTCAAAGAGAAAAGCCACACCAAGAAAATCACCATCTCCTAAAGCTCAATCACTTATAGGTTTTGTTTACGTTAAGAAAAACGAAAAAGGTGTACAACATCTCCCTCGTCATCTGACACAAGTTCCAAGACCACTCCTGAAGCTAATCCCTCCAAAAAGATGTATTCCTGTCCTACTCCAGCCCTTAAAACCTGCAGCTCCTCCTCCTCCCCAGAGCTATCCTACTACTCTCCCCTCCAAAAAGAAGAAGAAGAAGAGACAAGGATGGAAAAACTCGTCGAGAGGCTAGAGCAGATGGAAAAGAATCAAGCTGCCCAACACAAACAGCTGACTGAGCTGATAGGGAGCACATCACAGAGACAAGTTGACAGTTTAGCTAATCTGAGAAGTGACATGAAAAAACAGTACAAGGAGTTTCAAGATACCTGCACGAAACTCGATCTGAAAATTACTGAGCTTGAGAGCAATATGAATGCGAAAATTCAAGAAATGGGTAGTAAAGTGGATAGTGAGATTGAGATAATGAGGGGATCTCTGAATCACATCAAGGCCGGTAGGTCGAGTGTGAGAGACCCAAACAGAGTGGGAGAAATTATCAAGAAGCTTGACAGGCTGGAAAAGGAATCGAAAAAGAAGAATTTAATCATTACTTACCCACAGTGTAATGAGAACTCAGTTGAATCAGTGAAAAAAATTCTCAACGATAAATTCAATGCTAGTGAACATATGGTGGAGGTAAGATCACTCCCGCAAACGAATGATAACAAAGCACGCGAAATTGTCATTCTCAGCTCTTCTGAGATGAAGCGAAATATCCTTCGTAGTAAGAGTGAATTAAAGGGGAATGAGATTTACATCGATCAGGACTGGACCTCACTGGAACAGGAATCGTTGAAAACGCTACTCCAAAGTGCCAACGTACTTCGTAGTGAAGGCCACCGTGTTTTTGTGAGAGGCCCGAGCAATATTTCCATTGATGGGAAGTGGCACTTGTTCAATTCTGAAACCGAACAACTGCTGATCCAGCCACCAAGGAGGAACACACGAAACCCGGGGCTTGAAAAGTGTGACTCAAGCCAGCAACGCAGCATCTCAAAAAACGGAGCAAAGTAGGGCCACTCAACGTGCTGTTCTGGAAAATGAGCTCTTTCTCCAATGTCGCCGAACATGAGAACATCGCAGATCATGAAGTGATATGCCCGTCAGAAACGTGTTTGGTGGATCGACCTAGATGGATGCCAGCCGCACTACGAGACTACAAGCAGATTTGGTCCAATGGAGAGAGAGAAGCAGACGTCGGAAGAGCCAGTGGTGGCCTCGTTCTTTTGGTTAGTGGCGATCTTGATTTTGTAAGCGTGAGTGTATGCAATTGTTGCATTTTTATTAAACTCATTACGTGCTATGGAAATATTTTAATAGGAAATATATATTTTAAACCTGATAAAATAGATATTCAAACGAAACTAAAAGAGAGGCAATCCATTCTAGATGAGCAAGACCTCATAGGAAATCGAAATTATGTGTTCATAGGGGGTGATTATAATGCCCAACTTGGCAGACTATGTTTAAATTACATGCCTGAGGAAATTTTTGATTCTACAAAACTCGATTATGACTGTATTTTAAGTCATGATGAGTGCAACCCCAGAGGTAGTTTAATAAATGACTTTATGATAAAAAATGGCTTTATACTTATAAATGGTCGTTCTCATAGTGATAAACCAGCGAAAATAACTTTTGTTAAACATTCCGGTATTAGTATTATTGATCTAGTCTGGGCGAACTCCTCTAGCCTCTCCCTCGTAAATGATTTTAAAGTAGACCGCAGAGTTACAGCATCAGATCACTTCCCCATTATTCTGGAATTAGGTGAAAACCCTACCTCCTGTCCTTCTCCTTTAGCCAACTCCCTCCCAAAGACGGTGACTGATTCAAATATACCTAAATTGAAATGGTTTCCTGAGGATCGAGAAAAAATTTGCAAATACTATGATGAAATGCACAAGTTAGGTAGAAACCCAGATTCATATGTCAATAACACCCCACTAGCAATTTACGAGGAATTTGTTGATGTAGTACACGTTGCGGCTGAGGTTTCAGGCATGTGCATAAAGTCAAATAACGTTTATGTGAATTCTCAGAGAAACCCCAAGACAATGAAGAAAAACAAACCCTCGTTTGATAAAGACTGTTCGGAAATGAGAAATGCATTTAATCAATTAGTAAATCGATGCTTTGCCGCAAACTCCAGTGGCGAAAACAGAGCTGCTTATTTGGATTGCAAAAAGAAATATAAGAAACTCAGGAAATTCAAAGAAGAACAATTCTATAAGCAGAGGGAGGAGGACATTGCAAACGTTCGCAATTTGGGACAATTTCGGGAAACAGAAAATTTTTATAAATCAATTGGTATGACTAGTGCAATTAGAAGCTCGGGCAAAATAAGTAGCTGGAATGATTTCTATAGAGGTATTTATCCGCCTAGAATGCAGATTCATCGGAAATATCCCAATTTTTCGGTATATCAACTTGACATGGAAATCTCCCTTGATGAGATTCGAAAGGCAATCAAGGAAGCGGGAAATGCCAAAGCACCTGGTCCAGACCAGGTATCAAACGAATTCTTCAAGATTCTTCCAGATTGCTGGGAGTCTAGCCTATCTACTATGTTCAATAATGTAATGAACTGCGAAGCATGTCTTCCGGAATGGTCTAGAGTAATTTTACCGATGTTGTACAAAAAAGGTGATGCTGAAGACCCCGCGAACTACAGGGGCATTGCCCTTGTCAATTGCGTGACAAAAATTTTTACCTCTATCGTGAAACGTAGGCTGGAGACATGGGCTGAGGAACGTGGTATCTTACCTGAAACTCAATTTGGGTTTCGTAGAAAAAGAAGTTGTGCTGATGCCATCTTCACTCTTCTCTCAACGGTGCATCTACAGCTGAGGCATGAGAAATCCGAAGTATTCGCGGTGTTTGTGGATTTCAAACGAGCCTTCGACACTATCCCACCACCACCTGCTCTCGAAAAGATTGCTGGAGTTGAGGGTGAGTCCAAGGCTCGTTAAGATAGTGAAGTCTTTGTATGACCAGGCGGTAGTTCAGGTGAGATGCAAGGGAGAATTTTCAGATAGGTTCGAGGTGACGGAGGGAGTTCTCCAGGGTGAGTCCTTGAGTGCTCTCCTATTTGTTCTCTACATCGCAGATTTCGAGTCTGAGCTTAGACGCAGGGGTCTCGAGGGTCCGGATATGGACGGATGGAACGATCTTCTGTTGGTTCTTTTTGCAGATGATACTGTCTTGTTGGCGAGGAATTATATTCACCTTGTGAAAATGCTGAGAGCTTTAGAAGAATATTGTAGTATGAAAGAATTAGCGATTAACACGCAGAAGACGAAAATAATGATATTCAAGAAAAAAGGGAATCCTGTGGATTTAAAAAAGATGAACTTGTGCCTATATAATGAACCAATAGAGATCGTGAAGTCCTTCATGTATCTGAGTGTTACTCTCTCGTCGAATGCGCTAGCTGACGCGACTCTGAACTCTGTGGTGGGGAAAGCCCGCGCTGCTAGTCAAGCTGTTCTCAACATCCTTTATAAAACAAGGACTGCTCCCTGGAGCGCCACTCTAAAACTATTCCAGAGTGTTATTGTCTCCACGGTTTTGTATGCCGTCCCTGGTTGGGGTTTGTTGGTGCGAGATAACATTGAGCTGATGCAGACTTCCTTCTTCAAAAAACTCTTGATTCTCCCGAAAAGTACACAAGGTTGGGCCTTGCGGCTGGAGCTCGATCTCATGCCCTTGCAATTATATGCAATAAAAAATGTTTGAAAGTGGTATATTCATATTCTCCAGTCTCAAGACTCATACCTCCCAAAAATTTGTCTAAAACGCCTATTGGCGTTAGCCACGACCCCCACAGCTAGCACCAAATACAACTGGCAGCTCCAGTTCAAGGAGGTGGTCCTTGATTGTGATGCTATTGACTTGTGGGGTAATCTGGATCCCTCAGCGTGGATAAGGCANTTCCCCAGTCTCAAGACTCATACCTCCCAAAAATTTGTCTAAAACGCCTATTGGCGTTAGCCACGACCCCCACAGCTAGCACCAAATACAACTGGCAGCTCCAGTTCAAGGAGGTGCTCCTTGATTGTGATGCTATTGACTTGTGGGGTAATATGGATCCCTCAGCGTGGATAAGGCATAAGAGTGGGGCAATTTATTCCCTGGGTGAGAAGTTGAGGGGTAATGACTATTCTAGGTATCAGTCCTCAACGTCATGTCAGTTTTACATTTGCAGAAGACCAAATGACCATATTAAGAACTATATCTATGATAAACACCTCATTGCTGTGAAGAGAATAATTGCCCAGGTTAGACTATCGACTATACACCGCTGTCACCTCAGCCTTCCCTCTGGAAGTGTTAGAATAAATCTGAGAGATCAGTGTCACTGCTGCACGTCCGGTCGTTACGATAATTTATATCACTGGATCTTCAAATGTACTGCTTTTGCTGAATCACGGCGGAAATACCTCTCTGGAATCATAAATGGAACAGGAAATCCGGAATATCCCGCGATAGAATTTTTCAGAATTTTAGAATCACGCGCCTCCCTCTGCGAAGTCTTCTATTACTACATGAGTGAAATGTTAAAGAAAAGATCTGATATTTTAAGAGAACGTGAGGAAGAATGGATGAATGTATAAATGGCATAACAAACTAGCAAGCATACCAATGTACAGAATACTAGAAAATAAGTATAATATTTTTATACACTACTGTACCCCTCATATGGGATCTCTGAATCTCGTGAAATAAACTATATATATATATATATATATATATATATATATATATATATAATTTATTCCCAACCCTACTTGCCGCTCACTTCAATCACCTATTTGGAGCCAACTTCGGATAATAGCCGTTTTCGTAAATGAAGTCTCCGGGCTTGGTAATGAGGTTCAAATATTCGACGGTTCTACATTTTTAAGGGTAAGAAATTTTTATGGTCAAAACCAAGGGTCAGGACCAATAAGGGTCTGAGAATCCAAGGGTCAGAATATATGAATATATGAATATATGTATGTGAGGTTCAGAAGATTCTAGGGCCAAAATATCCGACGTTCACAACAAATATTATGTCCAGAAATTGAAAGGGGGGTGACCTATAAGCGTCAGATGATTACAGGGTCAGATTATTTAAGGGTCAAAATCCACAAAGCTCAGAACATTCCTCGCCTCAGCCATCTACTCTCTAAAAGTACTGAAGCGTAGAGAATTGGCCCTGTCATTCCAACTCTCCCCGAATTCTCACATTCCTCTCCACTCGTGGAACAAATAGAGAGTGGGTCTATCCACTGGGGATTGCGCCGAGAAAAACTATTTCTTGCTATTTTCAATTTTTTTGAATAACTGAATGAAATTTTCGACTGAATCGTCACTTTTTACAAATGTATGCTCAACAACGTGCTGGAAAAATTGCATTACGTTCCCGCTACTGGTAGCCCTCTCCAGTGTAAATCAGTAAGTTGAGAATAATATCATTAAATAAATTCCCACTCCGGTGCCAGATTTCGAGGGCACTAAATTATTATTTTGAAATTCTGCCGGAAGAAAACAGCAGTTCCTAACAATTTCTCAACAAATATATGTAAAACCCTTGTAGAATATGAAAAAAAAATACAGATGCTTTGAAAAATAATTTATGAGAGAACTATGTAAATAAACAATAAAAATCCAACTGAGGTAAAAATAGCACTGTGAATAACGAAGAACAAAATCCGATAATTCATTGAAGAGATATGAAGCATAGGAGGTTTGTTTGAATACACAAAAAATGAAAATTCAGTAGCGAAGCAGTAAGCCCGGTCAAGTGCTCAGTTTTGGACGAATATCTCGGAATCTAAAAGAAATGAAAAAAATTTTGTCAAGACTTTTTTTGTAGAGTGAACTGAAGGTTATAAAAATGGTTTTGAGAAGAATTTCGCTATCTCTCTTAGATTCCGAGATATTCATTAAAAACTGACCAAAAGTCAAAATCGATTTAACCCAGTTCACCTCTTTGCTACTGAATGTACGCGATTATAAATAGAGATACGCGGTAGCGTATCGGCCAAGTCGCGCATGTTAACCTCACAAAAAAACGACGAGAGTTACCGGGTATCTATACACGACACAGCTTCCCCTTCCACTACCCTCAACTGATTTTTCATCAATTAATCAAAAATGCCACTATTTGGACGAAAACTTTCCTTAGTTACCCGATATAAATCAACAATCCGCTTTCCACTGATACAATTATTAATTTAATTCGTGCAATATTTACGAAGATATGTACATAGCAACGAACTAGCATGTACATTTTTCGCGTTTCCATTATCTTCTAGACGAAAACGGTCAGACTTGAGCCATTAAATTGGTAGCGCAACTCGAATACTTATTTTTCGCATTCCAGGAATTGCCAACAGTATCTTACCATAGAGAATAGAGGGAAGGAGACCAAACTATGGACATATAATATATAGACTACGGGTTCCCTACCCCTCCTGTGTATTGAAAAAAGCACGGAACGGACAGAGAGTGTTGCGTTTGTCGCCGGTTTCCTTCCCTGTCGAACGGTGCCGCAGAGGGGGATAGTCGCCATTGCATAGTGAACGTATCCCCCACTCCGTGACCGTTCTTATTCCACTCTGAGAAATATTCGACAAAGAGAAAAACCATCGACGAAACGGCGCTCCTTTTCTATTTCTTCCAGCCCCCACCACCCGAACCCGTAGTCTATGTATTATATGTCTATGGGCCAAACAGAGGTTGGTGGGACCCCTGAAAGTCATGTGAAGGGCTCGCCGAAACTTCTCCCGAATCTCACTAGGCCTTAGGCCCTCTTTCACGGAAGCGTACTACTAGTAAATTTTCAATTGCTCTAAATAATATTCGGGAGAAAACCTTGTTATTAAATATATGATAAATATAAGGTCCGAGTGATTATGATTCAATTTTAAAATAAATATTAATAGCCCCTCAATAGCGTGCATACGAAAGATCCCACATACTAATTCTGTTTTTCATCATTCTGTGGAATTTCTTTACCGACAATTTTGCTGGTAAAGAAAAGTGACGAAGTAGTTATTAGCAAATACAGTCGATGGAGAAGGTTTCTAGGGCAAACTGCCGTCGATAAAATAGATCCCATAACGATGATTATTTGTTTTTTATTTTCAAATTCAAATTTCAAAATTGTGGTGAATGGTTCATTACGTACTGTTGAAAAAAGTGCGTTCATCACGCACTTTTTGTCCGACAAAATAAGTATTTTACTATGATTATATGTATCGATCAAGGACTATGAATTGAATTATTCCCATACAGATCTAAACAAGCAGGGTTGTAGCCTTTTTTGGCAGAAGCCATGTGACAGTTACTTTTTCTGTTTTGTTTTCTACCAATTTCATTGGTAATACGCTTCCGAATGGATCCGTATAATTTTACAAATGGTAAATACTCAAAAAGTTATTCATCTTGGTAAGAGGAATAAATCATACTGACCTCTGATTCCGTCAGAGCTATACCATTCATCCTGTAATATCATAAAAGCTACAATTTTACCAAATTTTCACTTCTTATTTTTTGGCTTCTAAAAAATTATCATGCGCACTATGATTTCATTATAAAAATGAATAATCCCGATTATTATCCAATCAATCTTAGTGGCATAACAATATTTTCATTTGATTTTTACCCCTGACGACAAATCAGAGGGAGCGATATATTCTTTAAAATAAATAAAATAAATAAATAAATAATAAAATACATTAAAAAAATAGATCATATCAACCTCTGCCTCAGTCGTAGCCATGACATACGGTAAATAGTTGTGATGACTTTTTAAGTCAGATAAAAATGAAAATCAATAATAGAATGATGTGTAATTTTTTAGAAAATTTTTTTTTTTGAGAAATTGCTTTATGCCCAGATGTAGTAAATCGATTGACATAAGATTTTATACATTATTGTGGACTAACCATACAAAGTAGTACCCTGAATATCAAATGTTTAGACCAAGTTTGGCATGTATTATGGACACCACATTAACTTTAAAATGAAAAAATTTGAAATTTGAAATACATAATTTGCTTCATATGTTCCTTTGAGGGACGTATGTATAACTTCCCGACAAAATTTGAAATGTCAAATGTGAAATTTGAAATTTGAAATTCGGGAAGTTGTAATTTGAAAAAACTAAACCATTTCGGGAGAAATTTCAAATTACAACTTCCCGAATTTCAAATTTCAAATTTCAAATTTTTTCCTCTAGACAAAGATATTGAAGAGTGGTGTTATGTGCTGGCAAAAGTATACCCCTCCCTTTGGTTTGCCGTCGGAGGTAAAAATTTGGAAATAGGCAACTTTTGAAGTCGGACAAATTTGGAGTTGGAAAAATTTTGACGTTCAAAATTTGCAAGTTTCAATATTCTGAAGTTGGAAAATTTTCAGGTTAGAAAATTTGGAAGTTACAAAATGCTGCAGTAAGAAAATTTTGAAGTAAAAAAATTACAGTTGACGATTTTGAAGTTGGAATTGTTTGAAGTTGGGAAATTTTGGAAGTTGAAAAAAATGAAGTTAGACAATTTTGAAGTCAGACAATTTTGAAGCTAGAAAATTTCAAAGTTAGGCAATTTTTAAATGAGAGAATTTTGAAGTTGAAAACTTTTTAAGTTAAAAAAATGGAGTTGAAATTTTTGAAGTTGAAAATTTTGAAGTTGAAAACATTGAAGGCGAAAAGTATTGCAGTCGATCAAGTGCGAAGTTGCAATGGATCCATTTTAACAGAAAAATGAATATCCGAAAATTTACATCCTAAAAATTTATAATCAAATAACTCAAAAACGGCTGAGACGATTCCACTGAAATTTCATTCCAATGTTGCTGATACGAAGCCATATCGATTATGATGAAAGCTAATCAATCCCACCGTTTGTTCGGAAAAAATCATCAAATTTACAAAAAACACTCATTTTTCGGCGTTTTTTAGTTAGTTTTCTTGGAAAATCTAAAAAACT